CATACAAAAAATTGTACTTCGATGTTTTACTGATTGAGGAATGATGAAATGTTTGTTTTAAAAGAAATAAAATTTTTGAACTGAAAAAAAAAAACAAATGCAAAATGTAGCTTGGAGTTAGAGTTGCTGCCATCCAATGGACACTTATAAGATGTCCTACTTGGTCTGACACAGAGGGCAAATGGAAAGGCTGATGTAAGGCACAGGTTGTGGTTGTCCTGTTTGAAAGTCAACATTGTGTTTGTAAAGTCACTGGTTTGGTTCATCATTTTCTGTCTTCCAGACTCTCCCTTACCACCATCCTGTCCCCGGTGGACTCCGTCCTGGGATGTTTGTATATGTACAAGGCACAGTGCCCAAAGACTGCAAGAGGTAAACTGCAGGCTCACAGAGAGGACAAAATACTACCTTATTCAAAATAATAGTAATAATAAGACAATTATGTTGTTAATGGTGGTTTATATAATTCAAATTCTATGCCAAGATTAAATCTTTTCTAGGTTCTTCAAATAGATCCACATCCTGCTTCTTGTAACTCCAACTAAGCTATGAGGGCTAGGAACTTGATTCTTCTCTTCAATCCAAAAACACAGGAACCTACAGATTCTAGCTTCAGGGCAAAGAAAAAAATGGGAGGAGCAGAATGGTGCTCAGAATTCTGCACCTTTCATTTAATTTTCCTCTTCTTTTTTCCTCTCTCTCTTCCAGTTCCTGGGTGAACTTCAATGTGGATTTTGCATGTGGCCAGCATAACGGGGTCGACATTCCCCTCCATTTCAACCCTCGTTTTAATGTGAAGAAAGTTGCACTTAACACGTTTCAGTCTGGCAGGTGGGGACGTGAAGAGGGTCATCAGATGCCCTTCCAAAAGGGCGAGCATTTTGAGCTCATCTTCAATGTCACTGAGGCTGGATACCAGGTTGGTACACGTGACAGGCTTCTTTGGAACAGGTGCATATTCATTCCTTCCCAGCCCCTGCCTCCCCCCCAAATTCACCATTTCTCTAGAATGAACCATAAAGGTATTTAATACCAATTTTCCCAATTTCATATCTTCCACATGGGTTTAAGTGATGTACAGGTAATCCTCATTTAGCAAACATTGGCACCAGCAACCTACTCATTAAGTGACGAAGTCGTTAAGTGAAAACGTGCCTGTGTTTATGATTGCGCTTCAGTTTTTTCTTTGCTTTGCTTTGCTGTCCTGTAAAGGTTAGAAATGACAGGAATTTTTCAGAGAATTCATGAGCGGCAGAGACATGGTAACAAGGTCAGCCAATGTATAGGCATAGCAACTAAGTCAGCCAATGAGGCTGTTTGGGAGCTGAGACAGCTAGGCACCTGGGCATGGCTTAGTCAAACTGTTTTGTACTAACCTGCAAGTCTGTGCTGAGAACTAAACTGGTCTGCTAAACTGAAGAACTACTCTTGGTATTGTATATATGTCTCATGTGTTATATTATATATAAAGAGAAGTTAATGAATCCTGCTGAATAAGTTATGTGTGTGTGCTTCTGGTTTTTATTTCTGCAACAAACTCTGACAAATTTGTTGCAAAGTTATTATTTCATCACTGCCCTAATTGAAAACAGTCACTAAATGAGGAGAACCTATAATTGAAGGGAAAACATTTTGGTCCAGGCGGGAAAATTAGGTATTGTTGAAATAAAGACTTCTCCCTCTGTTCATATACACATTTTGATCTCTGCTTAGCTTTGTGGTGGGTTGTTTTCCTGGCAAAAATAAACAGGTTTTTCCTGCAAAAAAATATGTATAGTCCCAATTGAGACTTGATCCCTTCGGGTTTGCTCTCTGACAGATCCTGGTGAACAAGAAGCCCTTCTGTACCTACAAGCATAAAATTCCACCACAAAGCGTGAAGGCCATCCATGTGAGGGGAGATCTGGAGCTGAACTCTCTGAATGTGACAGAACCAACAGTGCAGAACATGGTAAGTGATCAGTATTGACAAATCGGCACCTCCTGATCCTTGATCTCTCTTTGGGAATTGATTCTGGATTTGTTCAATCCTCAAACTGCCATTCTCTCATTCTCACCTCTAATTGCTCTTCTTGGACATCTTTCTTGACCCCTAACAATGGCCTCCCCCTCCCAGATCCTCAATTGATACAGCTTACAACTCTGCATTCTAGCAAAAATAATCATCCTAGGATGAACACTAGGACCAGCAACTTAACAGGGAGTAAATTTACCCCAGGCCGACATCCTACTTTCCCCCTTGTAGATTCCACAAATCAGAATTTCTCAACCTGGCAGTTTTAAGATATGTGGCCTCAACTCCCTGAACAGCCTAGGAGAGACCTGTACATCTTTGTTAACAAACCACACACAACCAGGAATTGTGCCTGAACAAGGCAACCTGCCTCTTCAATCAGAAGATTACAAGTCTGTCACATGTGCTTTCTCCACTGAAAAGCCAGACTCTGAGACATGGAATGGGGACCTTCTGTGAAACCCCTAGATAAAAAGTTGGGCCAAGGCCCTGGTGGAATTTTTGCATTGGTGTAAATTACCTTTCTACGTTTTTTCACAACAAAGGTGATAATTCCCAATTGTGTCTTAAGAGTGGAGTTCTGTTGGTTGTCCTGATGTAGGCTTCAGACACATCACAAACCTGGATGCAGAAAGAGAGAGTGGCTACATGGGGAATATAGTCTGAGCCTTCTTTGATCCTGCACCCAGTTCTGTCACTTCTGTCAGAGTTCTGTCACATTTATATTATATGTGGTATCTTGCTCAATAGTAGCAACTGTGAGAGAGATCTTGGAGTCCTAGTGGACAACCATTTAAATATGAGCCAGCAGTGTGCAGCAGCTGCCAAAGAAGCCAACACAGTTCTAGACTGCATAAACAGAGGGATAGAATCAAGATCATATGAAATGATAATACCACTTTATAAGACCTTGATAAGGCCACACTTGGAATACTGCATCCAGTTTTGNATCTATCTATCTATCTATCTATCTATCTATCTATCTATCTATCTATCTTTATTTATTTTATTTTATTTTATTTTATTTTATTTTATTTTATTTATAAGCCACCCATCTCAATAAGGTAACTTTGGCCACCTTTTACATCAGTCCAGGCAGTCAGTGCTTTCTTAAAATATATATGTATATTTCTTCACTGGCTACTTCACTTTAAGTGAGGCAGATGGCAAAATAATATGGACATGATCACTGAGTAATGGAGAAGAGGATTCTTCACCAGCGATGGTGACAGCTTCCAAGGCTTGCCGTTAGAATGAATGCCATTGTTTGCTTCATATGTAGGTGGGATATACATACTTTATAACAGGGACGTATGAATGTTCCACTTGGGAAGGTAAAAACTGCTTGAAAGTTTTCTTCCATACTGTCCTTTCATATGATATTTATTTTCCCTAATCAATGATGAATTTTTACGAGGAACATTTGGGGCATTTAGAAAGATCAAAAATGTGTCCTGACTTATCTTTGCTCATTGCACTTTTATTGCACAAGTTAACAGGCTATTCATTGATTCATATCTTCTTGTTTTGTTAACATAGTCATATTTTACGGTGGAAGTAATTTCATATAGCATGTATTTCTTCTATATGTAGAATTGGATCGGTGCTTAGAAAGCAATGGAGGATGCCACCAAAATGCAACATGTATTAAAACAGGGCCAGGTTTGGTAAGCAAATTTTTATCTTATCCTATTTTGAAATTTACTAATAATGTACTGTGTTTGCCCGAAAATAAGTCAGGGTCTTATTTTCTTTTGATCCCTGAAATAAGCACTTGGCCTTATTTTTGGGGAGGTCTTGTTATTTTGGACATTCAGGAGGTAGTGAGTGTGGTAACCTCATGGTTGCTGCTGTGTTGCAATATTTTCGGGGAGGGCTTATTTTCGCAAGACGGCTTATTTATCACATGCGCTCAAAAGCCTGATTGGGCTTTTTAGGACAGGTCTTATTTTTTGGGAAACATGGTACTTATAATTGTAAAACAACTGAGAGCATATCACTTAATACTGAAATATCCATGCTTGTTTCCTATCTTAGCCCATATAATTGTAATTTTAATTTTCAGTGGAGACCCTCATTTTCTTTAGACCCTTAGCTAAATAAAGTTGTTGAGCAGTGCACTTCATTTCTTTTACTTGGATGAGTTTTTCTGTTTCCTTTTTCTGTAGCACAGGTAAATCTTCCTATTTGCTCAAGCCTTTCCTTGATTCCTCTGTGATCAGTCCTGATTTCAATCATTTTTATATTTACTACATAATGTAAGCTTATTATAACATACTTAGTATATATTGTGTATGTTACCCTTACTGTTGGATGCTGTGATAGGTAAAAGCTGTGAATGCATTTCTCTTTCATTCTCCCTCTCTATAAAAAGCTGCAGGAAGTACTTCAACTTTTATAAATTGTGCTAGGATTTCGATACTGTAAAATCTCTAACATGGTCCAGATGTGTGTGTGTGTGTGTGTGTGTGTGTGTGTGTGTGTGTGTGTATGTATGTATATGTATGTATGTATGTATGTATGTATGTATGTATGTATGTATGTATGTATTGTCACAACCCCTGGTAAGCCCCAATTATGGGA